CGCGCACTAGGCACCCAAATTACCGCAATCAATACCATCATGATATTGCGCCATTACCACCATCATGGCAATTTCAAATGCTGAGTAATTCTACAAGACAGTGATTTGGGAACCCATCGAATACTTTTTTCTCAATTTTCATTCTAGCACCAGTAACGCAAATCCAAGTGAACGAAACCCTAGCAGAAATAAGGATTTCGGGGTAGATTAGATCACTTTATTGGCTCAGGATCTGCACACAAGGTTAAGAAAGTGACATCCCTGTCTGTGCACATCTCATCTGCAAGCGTGGTCACCATCAACCTAGGCCATACTTAACTGAAGTCAGTCCAGGTCATGACATTGGTCACCGGTCGCGCACCAACCCCTTGCCTTGTCAGCGGGCTTTTTGTGCTGCGAGTTAGTTTCAGACCAGTTCTCGGAGGTCCTTGAAATCATATTTTCGTGCTGTATAGACGCCGCGGAACGGAGCTTGGTCCGAAATGAGATTGGCTGGTCCAAGTCCGTCAACGAGCAATTCGAGGATTGACCTCTTCAGTGTCTAATAAAATTGTGAGTGGGTCTTTATAGTCTTACATTTTACATTGTTACAGTTTTACAGTCACATTCTTGCGGTTTTTTATTTTCAATTTTTCAGTTTTTGTTTCTTTATATTTTACAGTTTTCCAGTGTTACATCTTTACCCGTAAGTTTTATGTGCACTTGCGTAGAACATTATGTATATAGATAAGACAGAGAGAATAACGTTATTCCTCGTAAAAAAAACAGAAGAATGGAAACACAGATACGATGACATTTCATCAACATACCTTTATCGAAACGAATATCAGTAGTCAATTCAAAGTGGCCCGCGGTTCATCCTACTTGATTTTTGCGGGTCTTCTTTATACAGCAAGCCACCGTTTTACAGGAAGCCAGCATTCAGGGGGTTAAGCGGGGAGCAATTGCCAGCCATTACTACGATGCAGTGCATATCTAACTAACAATTAGAATACGCGAAAAATACGCGTACATGAAAGCGGGTTCAAGTAAACAGGCATCAGGCATCACATTTCATTCAAACCTGCAAGCGATTTCAAGTCAACAGGCATAACGCATCACGCATCAATCGTACATGCAACGATTTTGATGAAAAAGACATTGCGCACCATGCGTCAGGCATCATTCATACATGTAAACGGTTTGAAGCCAGCATGAATCATGTGTGAAGGCACTGATGACCTTGGCATAACGGTCATGATGAGCCCTATACGTTAAGGTCCGTATGCAGACTTTTTATGAGAATAGATACACTTATTTTCCTGTCTGGATAGTCGTGTGCTCTGTAGATAACTTTGAGCTCTAAAAGGGGTGTAGGGTTGATGCCCCCATGGATCTCAGCTAAGCGTGTCTTGCCGAGAAATAGTCACTGAAAAGGGTGCTCCCCGTTTTGTTTTTAGCGTCTTGCAGGTATTCATTATATATGAAACGAATGAAGGACATGGATTCCCCGACATAGTCTATGCCCCTTCCGTGTTTTTCGCACAGTTGACACTTAATTTCGTCAACCACGTTTTTTTTGTGCAAACCACTTGAAACCCAGACTTGTATAAAACCTTACGCTTAAAACCCAGACTTGCATGTCATTAGCACGCGCTCGGGTGGGGGCACAAATTGACCCCCCAAATTATTTTTTCCGGAATGGTTACCGAACGGCGCGGCGCAGCCAAGCCAAACATTGTATAGCTGTGGGTGGAAAATTAAATAGCAGAACGTTTGGTCTAAAAAAGGTGTACCACCTGTTTAAGTACAGTAGGGATTGCTAAATGGGATGGTTTCTGGTGCCCATTTCAATTTTTTTTTGTTTATAACAAGAACCACCTTACATATCTTCCATGGACTTTTTAAATGTCAGAGAAGGCCACTGATCTACAATAACCGAGGTCAAGATTCGGTTTTTAGGAACATAATGCCTAGTGTTATTTATGTCGCTTATGAAAATGCAAAACTCAAAGCAGTCTTCTATAGTTGTGGTCACCATGACCTTCGAAAGGTCATGCAAGGTTACTGATTTGAAATGAGAATGTGACTTTTGATTAGAACAAATATCTAGGCTCTTGGAACACTTCGGAGATCAACATAGAGGTTGACATTGTTTGACCTCATTTGACCCGAAGGCTATAACCTATGAACCTCAAAATTTGATCTAAATGAGTTCACGTGCAGGCAAATACACCCTGTGAACTTGGCGTCTCTAACCCTCTTAGTTCCTGAGATCTCAGCGGGGTCAAATTGACCCCCACCCGAACGAAGTGTATCCAGCCGGCCACCCGGGCGCGTGTTGATGGAAGTCACTTATGCAAAAGTGGCATGTCATTTGTGCAAACCTGGGTTTCACGTGCTTCACACGTAAAAAACGTGGTTTACAAAACCAAGTATAAGCTGCGTGAAAAAAGTTGGAGCGACATAGTCCATGTCGGGGAGTCCATACTCTCTATTCGTGTGAGATATGATGAATACCTGCAAGCCGTTAAAAAAAAAACTGGGAACATCTCTTTCGGTGACAGCTTTTTGGCAAAACACGCTCAGACTAAAGTTTGCGGAAATGGGGGCCCTATACCTCTTTTAGAGTGTAAAGTCATCTACAGAGCACAGGACCATCCAAGCTGGAAAATAAGTGAATATATTCTTATAAAAAGTCGGCGAAGAGACCTTAACGTACAGGGCTCATCATGGCCCATTATGGCAAGGTGATAAGTGCATGGATGTGTGTGCGTGCTAGCTTAAAATCGTTTACATGTATGAATGATGTCTGACGCGTGATACGCGATGCTCGTTTAATTGAAGGCTTTTGCATGTTTGCTCGATGCGTGATGCGTCATGCCTCTTTACTTAAAATCGCTCCCATATTTAAATAATGCGTGATGCGCGATGCTTGTTTAATGGAAGCCGTTTGCATGCTTGCTTGATGCGTGATGCGTCATGCCTCTTTACTTAAAATCGCTCGCATATTTGAATGATACGTGATGCATGCCGCATGTTTATTTGAGATTGTTTCCGTGTACACGTGTTTTCGCGTATTCTGATTCTTAGATAAATATGCACTGTATCGTAGTAACGGCTGGCAATTGCTCCTTGTTTAATCCCCCTTAATATTGGTGACCTGTAAAAACCGTGGCTCACTGTTTAAGAAAACAACAACTCTGAAACATGAAGTAGAATTATCGGCAGGCAATGTTGAATTTACTAGTGGTATTCGTTACGTTCAAGGCATGTTGCCGAAATATCAACGCATCTATATCTCCACTGACGGCTTTTCTACGAGAAAGAAAGCTATTGCTACTATCTTATCTAAAGCCATAAACCATAGCGAACTCCGCTGCGGCGAGAACGTCCAATCAACTGCATCTCGTAGATAAACCCCTTCACTTTGATTTTGTTCTCTTGCTTTCCTTGAACGCGATCACTTTCTCTACTGATTCTTGGATTTTGGCACCAAATTCATTCCGATCCTTCTGTTCTGCCGTCAGCATTAAGAACAACCTTGTCGTCAGCTCGTGTCGGGTACGCCAGCGTGTGGCTTGACAATGGCCACTGGCGGAGAAAATGAAACGCTTCATACAGCTCAGCAGTCCAGAAAAGTGTACGGCCATTTGCGAGCTAGCCCGGCGAGCAGGTACAATGATATGAATTGGAGATATTGGGTACTGGATACTGGACTGGATGCTGGATGCTGAACTAAATACTGCAGTGGACATTGGACTGAAAATTGGACTAGATACTGGATTCTGGATACTGGATTCTGGACCGGATACTGGATACCAGATAATGGACTGGATATTGAGCTGGATATCGGGCTTAATATGTAACTGGATACTGAAAACTGAATACTGAATACTGAATACTGGATACTGGATACTGGATACTGGACCGCATACTGATGCTGCATACCGGATGCTGGGTACTGGACTGGATACTGGACTGGATACCGGACTGGATTCTGGACTGGATACTGAAAAAGATGCTGGGCTGGGCACTAGACTGAATACTGATGCTGGATACTGGACGTTGGATACTGGACTGGATGCTGGACACTTAACTTGAGACACTGGAAAGAGCTTCCCAAACTGTGTGAAAGCCGTACACGCCCCTTACCTCCCTCACGTTGCTGGAATTCCGGAGCTTTAAATACAGCAAATTTGATCCGGATTGATTGATCGCCCTCGGATGTGGTCTAGTGACCTAGATCTAACGGCTTTCGCATACTAATGCCGCACTTGTTGGACGGCGGCTTGAAACCTGCTCGGCTTAGCTTGTCCAGGCCAGAAGTGCAGCACAGAAGTTTCAAACTGACGACTGGCTGTCAGACTGTTAACTCCTGGGCTTGTCAGCAGCACATCACTCGCGTAAAAAGGTAAGCCTGCGATACCACCAAATACCCGACGGATCACCCCGTGCAGAAAGTAGGACGACTTGGCGCACCGACCAACTTCCATTTTGGATAGTTCCTTTTTCCAACGCGTAGAAACCGCACATCTCTTGCGATTACTTAGAAAGTTGCACGGGGCTTCGAACTAGCACAAGCACGAGATTTAGACCACCAAGCAGGTGTTTTTTTTTACTAGCTCCGCACCGGATGTTATTCGTCCTTGTCACTACATCGCCTATAGCATCCGATTGCGTCGTTTCCCTCCCGTCTTCGCTGTCTGGCGCCGCCCATGCGAATCTATCGCCAACGGCTTCCGAGTTCGCCTCCCCATCCCACCGCCTGGCGCCGCCCATGCGGAACTATTGCCAATGGCCTCCGAGTCCCCCACCCCGTCCCACCGTCTGGCGCCGCCCATGCGGAACTATTGCCAATGACCTCCGAGCTCCCCTCCCCGTCCCACCGTCTGGTGCCGCCCATGCGGAGCTATTGCCAACAGCCCCCGAGTCCCCCTCCCCGACCCGCAGACTGACGCCGCCTCTACCGGCCACCAACCAACAAGCTGAGCGTCGAGACTCACACCTGCCAAGTGATCGCTGGCGGTGCGACGGTCACAACCAGCTGCGCCGGCGACAGAGTTAACTCGACCTGTGACACGGTCTTGAGCGGGGTCCCGACAGCGCGTACGGTAGCGAACGGGTCACTGTGCTCTCCGTGTCACACGGCCTTAGATACGAGAGCTGCGAAATTGGGGAGAACAGTTCCACGCTGCCTTCCGGTAATTGTCACCCGAGGTCCGTTGCCTTTTCAACTACATTACATAGGACCCCTTTATATGAATTCTACTAAGTGGAAGTGCCTCTGTGAGCACGTTATCTGAATTTTTCTTGGCAACTCATTCGGTGTTATCAAGATGACTGCTAAAATCAGTGAAGGGCATGGTGGAAGACGAGGAATGCTTATGCAGGTAAGAGACAATACTATTGATATTGATATACTGAGAGCATCACTGCTTGAACTGGCAGGATATCTGAGCCTGGCCACCGGGGCGTCGATTTGTTTAGGCGATTGAGTGACCAAGCCAAGGACTCGACAACCTAACCCGCTCCTTCCCCCTCTCAAATGGGAAAAATCACAAGGCAGCGTGCACTTGTACAGTTTCACGATTACAGGTTACTGTGCCGGGTGCAATCTCTGGGGATGGCCAACTGAGTAAACAGATTGCAGTGTGTGCGCATTTCGAGGATAGAAGCATCGTTGCGCGACAAATGTTCAACTATCACGCCGTGCTTTTACCTTTTACGTAACACCAAATCACACCTTATGAGGCCCGAGCCGTACAGTAATATTTTGGTGATTGTGTAAAGGTGGAACATTCAAAAATGTTTATCAAGGTGTAAGAGCACACAAATGATGTGCATATGGCCGGGCCAGCAAAGCCACATCGAGGTTGTATAGTGACGCAAAGGTGGCAGGATACCATTGAGTCAATGAGAGGTAGGAAAATTGTGAGACATTGCCACCAGTGGCGACGTATCTGGGGGGGGGGGGGGGGCAGGAGAGGCAAAGCGCCACACCCATATTTCGCGGCGGGGCAGAGCTATCCCCCCCCCTAGTATATTTTTACGTAACCCAGAAGGGGATTTCGGATCTATCAAAATACTGACTTGTTTTGTTACAAAGCTAGGGGTACAGGAAACCTTCGGTTGGAAACGGTTAACCTTGAGTTTGGAAAGCAATTGTCTCAACTCCGGAGAAGGCCCATCTTAGACTGGAAAGTGAACCTTTCGATGCAGCATTTCGCCTTTGTTAGTTTCCGACACGAGAAAGGGCATTTCTGGCCTGGAAAGGGCCCATCATAGACTCGAAAGGGCCCATCTGTGACCGGGAAACGCCCATCGTAGACTTAGAGAGACCCCTTTGTCGTTATGGGGAGGGTCCATGGAAGGCTCAGACGGGCCCCTCTCACGTCTGGAAAGTGTCCATCTCAGTCCTGCCTCATATGTGTTAAGCCCGGCCGTATATTGAAAGGGGCCCTCTCTGAATCTACGAAGGACCTAAACCTGTGGGCCCTTTATATATCACTACGATGGGCCCTGCCTCACATCTTGAGGTAAAGAAGAGCCGGTCACAAATTAAAAATCGTCCATTTTACAACAGAAAACGGTTAGGTAAGTTGCGTACCTGGAAACAATCCATCCGTGATCAGTACAGGCCGACCGTGAGCTCAGGAATCGCCTCTTTTGAGTCCGGGACGGGCACATCGCAGACTCGGAATAGGAAATCAGGTTGGAAAGAGCTCCATGTTTGAGGAGAGACCCTCAATGCGATAAAATAAACGGACTGGCGCACAACTTACACAAATGTAGACTTAACTTTGTGAACGAGAGACCCCAATCCCGTCATAAACCCATATACACATGTACATGTACATGCACATAAAGGAGTAACTGACCGGATCAAAAGGGCCAGGGCTGCAGAGCTTCCCGAGTTTCAGTACAAACTTAGCTGCATAGGATGAACGGCCCTGGGCATGGCCAAGGGGCATGACCACCTGCCATGTGTGACCAATTCCCTGCCTCTTTATCAAATATACTCAATGCTCTTGGTCAAGAACAGTGCCCTTCTGGCATGATTTACCATTCTTGAAAGGGATTGTGACTGCCCAAAGCACATTGGGCCGTCACAGAAGCCCTAACTTCTAATGGACCTCCGGGTACACCAGGCCCCTGCAATGATGTTCCCAGGATTTCACCCAGGAAGGGGTGTAATTAGACAAAGGGTGCCAGGGGCACGGGCGGGGTAGCACAGAAGGCACGCGACCCCGCATAGATCTTGAGGAGGTCTTTGGAACCCTGGGGGTTGACGATCGGGGGCCTGGTTGGAGCGCCCAAAAACGGGCATGGGATCGTATCAAGGACTCCAGCCCGCTGGGCCGGGGCCCCGCAATTTCAGTCAGCGGACCTCTTGCGTCATTTGGTGCACCCTGAGGCAATGAGGGCCTCTATGTCCATTACAGATCTCCGATAACGAACAGTCCGCTCCGTGTCATTATAGGTAACGGCGGCAAATTTCACAAGCAGGGACATTGCTGGGGGCTATGATTGCACTGAATGCATCTTGCGTCGGTCGAGGGGGGGGGGGGGCTGAAGCAGTGTTGGGCCCTTTGTGTCTGTCAGTGGAACACAGCGCCTCGCAGGGGGATCATGTGTTGGCAGGAGCACGCGGGTCAGCCAGGAGCACATTTGCTGCGCAGTGCCAGAGATGGTGCCCCGATCGTCGGAGGGCCTCTTACGCTGGATGGGACATTCTGATAGCGAAAGGAGAAGCATAAGCCATATGAACGATAAAAATTAGGTTGCGATAACTTAAAATCATGTTACATTGCAATCAATTAATAAGTAATCACAAATTAACAATAAAAATGTCCAGCATGTTACAATGGAGGGACCCTGTGTCAGCCAGGGGTCTCACCATCGAAAAGGAGAAGGAGGGGTCAGGGGCTCCAGTAACCTGTGCCGTTTCCTCCAGGGGATTGACAAGTCAACTTGGTGTCCCTGTATTATTCATTGAGCCCTCTACGCCGATAAGGGATTATTTTACGCCTCACCTGCGTCGACCCAGAGGCAACTGTCGCGGTCAGAGAGCCTCCCCGTCATGAAGGGGACCGATAATTGGTGTATCCTTCTACGGGCCCATGGATCGGCCAGGGGCCCCGATCCCACTGTCGCCAGAAAGACAGTCGGCAGGCGGTAGCGACCCCGAAGTGAGACGGACATTGATTCCTCAGTCCCTGGCCGAGAAATATCATATACTCCGTACCTCTATCTACCAGTCCCTGCCTGGACAATGTAAGGACTGACCTTAATGCTCAACAGAATTAATTGATGCAGGGTAGGTAATTGCATAGGTCTAGCGAACCGATGCTTGCCTTGCGACGCACCTCCATTTTCGAATCAACTGCTTTAAAACATAGCTTCGAGCATCCCCGCTCTCAATCTGATCACGGGGATAGCGTAAGCACTCGTGATTATAAGCATCGCTTAAAATATCAAACCCTTTTTATATGACCGACGTTTGCTCTTTAACCACGTTTAACCAGTACCTCCTGATGAATTGAATAACAATAATTCAGCATAAAATATTTGGAATCATAATAAAGATTCCGCCATTACATTAGTAGCTCGTAGCGCTGTAAATGTTTGAAGTTAGTGTTCCACATTTGCACGGGGTTTTGAGCTGAAATAGCTATCTTCAAGATCATTCCGTGCAGTTTACAGCCCTGCCCTTGTTCAGATATAAGCCCCTTTAGTGTCTGAGCTAAATGCCCGCGAAGATGCGCAAGCTACTTTGGGTAGACGATTTCGTGTTCGTGGACACGATTTCCAGATATAAAGGTTGTCAATTGGCTCTCAATCAATGTTGTGCAAGGTTTGATGACGCAATCAAACGATGGTGTGCTGAGGAGCACACTTCATAAATAGAAAAACCGTGTTATCTAGGACAGTCGCTTCCACTTTGAAGTATACCAAATGTGTCGTGTCCCGGGTCGGGGGTGCTAGGAGGCTGCTGCAATCAGCTGGTATCGCCCGTATGGTTGCGGCCCTCCTCATGCGGCGATCAGCTGCTTAGCGGAGACGGTGCGGGTGAGGAAGCGGGGTCGGCTAAAGTTTCGAGAGTGATGGGCCACATCGGGTCGGTGACTTCCACGCGGTGACTCTGACCTAGGAGCCGGACGAGGCGACTGGTGTCTGAGTGGCTAGACTGCGTGATTGGAGTCTTTGTGCCGGTATGTTTGTATTGGTAGACTGAGGCGTGTAATATCATTCAGTGGTTAATGTTGTGTTAATAATGGTTGTCAGTATAAGAAACTAGCTGAACTGCAGAAAATGCTACACCAGCAATTATGATTGACATTCTGCACCACATTTGATCATTGCTTGAATATCTTCAATTGTGGAGCTTTCCCTGACCTAAGACCTAAAACCCTGTGATTTCTGAGCGACTCGCCCACCAAGACGTGCAGCTTATATCGTCCATGCTATTTCAAATGCTGCCTAGGCATCATTAAGGTGATGATGATGACATTCAATTCCCGACATTCCACTGTCCATGCGCCGTTCAAGGTCAAGCAAAATATGATTGTCGCATCGTCCCCATCCCGCGCTCGTTAGCACAATTTCTAGACATAGCAGCCGCCAGTTGGCTTTCAACCCATGTTGCGCAAGCTATGCAAGTTTTTAACACGACTTACGTGCTGTGCTACATAATGAAGAAGTTATTCATTCTTCCTAGTCATTGCGGAATTAAGACCTAGCATCACACAAATTAAGAAAGGCATTATAACCGACCATTTGAGTGCAAATAAGCACATTAAACTTACAGATAGCTGTGCAAGAGCACCACAAGAAAATGCAAAAACTTGAACAACTAACGATATGTCGCTCAGCAAACATCCAGCAACGCCATGGACTACCTCTCGGGCGATTGGAGAATTACAAGTGAGTGTTATACAAACGCTCCGTGATGCAATTAAGCAATGACGCACTGATGAACATATTCAGGGTTTGAAGACACCTTTTCCGTCACCAATGACACCTGGGACCATCCTAATTGTCGCCTGTAGCAGAGTTTTTCTAAAATCGTTGTAAAATAGCTTAAAATGTAATAAGTCAAAAAAGACCACTTCAATGCAATGCGACGTAACTATCAAGCATTTTGGTTACTGGAGTTCATTTGCACTAAAGTATTATTTGCCAGCCATAAACACTGAATGATCGTTGATGCTTAACTTATAAAATTATCAGATAAAGGCATACTTCACTTAACCAGCCAGCCTAAGGGTTCTCGCTTCTCTTCAGTTGGGAGAGGGGGGGGGGTTGTGCCTATTAACCAGGTATGTATCTTCCCACTTTAAGTGATCATTGTTATGCCTTATTTTCAGTTATCATAACTTGCTACCGTTCA